CAATATGTGCATACCTCCACCATTAAACTGTCAAATTCTGCACATTTTTTATACTATCTACATACATAAGAGTATAATTAATGTATATAATATCAGTTAAAATAAGTGCTTCAACATAGTTAACATTGCAGGAAAGCAATATATTAGACGTTAAGTACTTTGTCAGGCTTAATATTTATCTGTAAATACCCCCAAAGCTGTTTTCTTATTTAAAAGAAGACCTTAACCTAAAGCATTCTTTAATGTGTTAATAAAGGTTAATTAGTTTGTCTGTTTTGCACATCCTCATATTAATATCTTTATACATCCGGCACTAAACTGTTTTATTGTAGAGATCACTTACAGTATCTTCTTGATTTTTTATATTCTATATTTCTATCATTGACCTTCTACTTTCACCCTATGAAAGTATGTACTCTTAATATTTTTTCATCAAATAACATTATTCAACAAAAATAATTCAATAACGTGCTTTAACCACTAGGTGGTGCACACAAGGTACACACAGCATACTAATAATAACTTTGTATTATTAGTGTAGGACACTTATGTATGTATAACATCTGAAGATGTGTAGTTTTATTCATGTTTTTACATAATTTTACAGGATATTGCTATACTATTTCTCATGTTTTACTTCTACACATAATGATTTGTAAAACATCACAGACAGAAAGGTATATCCGTCATTTAATGGTAAGCTATTGAAATTCTGAATCCATAGATGTGTCTCCCATCACCCAAATCCCCTGACTATTCTCTCAACTCAGTATTTACATTCTTATATTCAAAGAAAATCAGTAATATCTTTAAAAACTTTAAAAGTCCTTTTCTATCAGCTGTGCACCATTATGGTGTAAATATAACCTATCTACCAATTGGATCAAATATAAAAGTCAGCCGAATTACTATTGATACTGCAAGGAGACGTATTTTGTGAAAATAAATGTAAGATATTGTTTAATTGTTGATATATTTATGATCCACGTCACGTATTCAGTTTCGGCGGCACTTCTTCCTGTTTGTCCAGAAGTCTTCTCATCAGGGCTCTATAAATACAGAACTACGGCAGATGTGTAATATTTAATGCAGCCGAACCGTGTATTACAATGCCGTTATGTGATGACCTCCAAAGAGAAAAGCAAGAACACTCGGAATAAAGTATTATTTTATTTTTAAATGTTTTCGGATTTCACATCGCATAAACACCATCTCTCAACGTGCATTGCGGCTAAAACATCCAATCAGTGAGCTGAGGATCTTTCCTACATCTGTTTCCGGTATTGTTCCTGTAATGAGAGTTCACATTTATGCTACATTGAAGGGTGGAATTGACTACACATCTTCAGAAACATAATTTGCTTCAGATATACTGTAACTCATAGCAATATTGTAACCATTAAGAAAAGCCAACTGCATTAAAAACCCAGTTAACAAACACTAGGTAAAGTATTTTTCCTTCAGTAATGAAGATGTAATTCCAATGTAGACACACCTGGGGTCGCTGTTCAGTCTGTTACGCTGAGCCATGCATTGTCTGGAACGTAAAAGGGACGAAGAAGACAAAGTGAAGTGACGTACTTCCGGTTCCACATGAAAACATTCCCAGTGCAAAAACAAATGGCTAAATAAAAAGATAAAACACTGGCATGTAATTTACTTTAGAATAAATAGAATGGTTTTGAATAATAGATGAGAGTAAAATCTACGTCACTTTACAGCCCCACCCACTTTTAGGGAAACCAACGCTGTCATTTGAACGGCGATCAAGCCTGAAGCCACAGAGCTCTTCTGTTACTGTCCTTTCTTACAGAAACACGTAACTCTGGATTGGTTTTAATGTTTGAGGTGCAATAAACGACACAGCAGCTTTTCGGCATGTTAAAACTATTATTTTCTGCCTTGCTCATGAGAGTAACAGCTGGCGAAATTACAGCCTCGCCTACTGATTTTAATTTAACCATATATCGAGCCCGATCGTCGATTTCAAATGTGTGCTCTAAAATGATATTTATAAATGACTATTATCATTATTATAAGCAAGACAATAAATGGCAAAGATATGTAGAAAATAACCGTATTTAAGATACGTTCATAACAAACGTAACGTGGGAGAAAATATGTTTCTAGAAGATATGTAGAAAATAAACGTATTTGAGATACGTTCAAAACAAACGTAACGTGGGAGAAAATAAGTTTCTAGCTAAACGTAATTGAGAATGCAGTTTAGTTCTGTGGGAACGTAATGTTTAGGAGACAGGGTTGGAATCCGTGTATCTACCGTCCAATTGTTTTTCTTTATTAAACAAGTAAACGGAAGAGCGTCTGAGAGAGCCCCGTTTAAGAGAGCTGTGAAGTCAGCGGCCCGTCTTTGGTTGCGTTTCCACTTGGCCTAGTACCGGCTAGCGGGTCCTAATTCACAGTTTTTCTGGCCCCATAAAATCATGGTTCTAGGGCCAGGAACAACCAGGCTGAGTCGGGCTGAGTATGCTAAACTAGAGAGAGAATCGCTGGCAAGTGGGCTACAACTACAACAAGATGAACATATTTGACCGTGATTTAATTGTAATACACGTTTCAAAATGATGCCGAAGTAACAACATACTGATACCGGTTAGTAAAAACCATGAATTAATGCTTTGACAAGTCTGCAGACAGACGGCAGGCGAAAAACCTTTTAAAATGTGTGTTTTCTAAATGGAGATTGGCTAAGCTAACGCAATATATGCTCCGACCGTCCACACTCACAACAACGGCCTATACAGACATAAATAAACCAGCGACTGTACTCGCCATGACACAGGCAGTCTGTGGTTTGTACTTGTTTAACTTTTGTCTAGTTTCTGAACAGATATGTGGAGCTGTAAGCTCTGAGTGCTAACAGCTAACGGCTGATGTTGGTTTTCTGGGTTTCTCATTGAAGATGACGTCACGGCTCCGCCTACACTGCGTTACTATAGATCAGGGGTCGGCAACCCCTGGCACGCGTGCCACCATTTGCACGCGGCACCGTAACCAGTGGCACACTAGGAATAAGTGGAATAAGTGTGCAAAATATTTACATTTTATTTTCGGATCCTGAACGAGACCGCCGCCAGAGCGCGTCTCCCCGTTACCTGCAGAAGGAAGCCATGCACGCAATGCAGCCCCGCTCTCTTTAACTCCAGGCGACTTTCTGCCGCTTTCCTCCGTAATGCAGTGCTGATAGTTTCACCACAGAGGAAAGCACTTCACAAATTGCAGTACCCATAAGGAGCTGTAAAAATGCCGCAGTTTTTGCGTGGCGATCGATATCGGCCGATACTCACTCTCTGCCGATCGATCGGTGCTCTCTAAAAATGCCGATCGCGAGACGTAAAATACATGACACTTTTCTCTGTGTGCGGCAAAACAAGCTCGCCAAAATGGCTTCACCAGTCTGGCAGTATTTTAAGGTGTCCGAAAATGACAATAAAATAGCGGTGCAACGTGTGTGAAGCAGAAATCCTGCAGCTCCACCCGCTGTGACGGACCGGTGAGCGGAGCAACACACACAAGAGTTAGACCTAACACACTTAGCTATTTGATCTACCCAGTGGCGTCGCCTGGGGTAGGCATCCGGGGCTTTAGCCCCGGATGTTTTTTCTTTAGCCCCGGACAAATTCTCCCTCAATATAATACATTAACCGTACTTCTTTACCTATAGGACGGCAGATTTGTAATTTCCCGTGTTCAGTGATTGCAACATAGGCAAGCCAAGACACCACCAGACCAATCAGAGAGTTGCATGGAAATAAACGTGTTTTATTGGCTGACAGGTACGTACCTCTCCTCTGTGACAATGTTTAAACTTTAAACTGTCAGCCCCGGACGCGGAGATTCTGAAGATGGACATTAGACATGTTTTCAATAAAAAAGACGGCAATACTCAAGTGGTGGCTCACACAACAACCCCAGAGCCACCACCTGAGCCAGGTGAACAAGGTATGTACATGTCAGTAAACTTACAAGTTATGCGAACATGTAAGCAAAGCATAAATTACAGCTACGTTGACGTTACTTTGAATCGCACGGGTAATCTAAACCGTTAGCAAGTAGCTATAGCGAGCCAGATATATTAAATAAACACTTTGTCATACAATATAAATGTTGTGTTTTTTAGCGTTACCTGGTGATTTCAAAGAAAGCTCTCTGGGAAATGTTGACTTACTGTTCGACAGGAAGCTAGAAGCTACCTTACAGTACACAGTTGATCCTGAGTCCTGTCAGTTAAAGTGTTTCATAGTTAGCTTAGCTAAGCATCAAACTAGCACTGAAATATATGGATGTTATGTGACAGTATTTCTGAGAAAAGTCAGTTTAAATGGTGGCCTAGTTGCCACTGCTTTACTGTCGACAGCACGTTTGAACGTATTTGCAGCAGTAAATGTGGCTGTTTGACCACTGACGTTGCCATAACACCTGAATTTAAATGTGCAACCTCTTTTTGTGACAGATTTTTGCATGAAATTATAATTCTGATTGATATTTCCTATTGATAGCTAGTTTCTATGTGAACATTATGAGATGGACAGCCAGCTAACAAGCTTTTTATATACAAAGATTTCAGATCAAAGCTAATCCAGTAGGGCTCCTGAAAGGGGACAAGGGACACTATGCTCCCAAATATTAAGCCTCGACCCCCATCTTAAAATTGATATGATCAAAAAATCTGCATTGTCGGAGGCCTTTTTTCCTCATTATCATGTCAAATTGTACAGCTTTCCTTAGTTTTGAATGCAGAAAGATGACTATTCGAGTATTACGTGAAAATGACTATATTTAAGTGTTAAGTAAATATATTAAGTGAATTACTCAAACTGCATTTGTATAGGAATGATTCTCTCCTATTGGCAGATAACTACTAACAGTGATATCTACTGTACAAGAGGTTTCCAATGTCAATTTAACTATTTTCAATTGGTTAGTATTATATTTTGTGACAGTGTGGTGACACTCATTTTAATGAAGACAAATTTGTGTATCTTGAAATTCATTTATTTGACAGAGCTGGAAACTGATTTTAAATACTTGTTTGTGTTTACCTACACAGTCATCACAGATGAGCCAAAAATAGTAGAGGATGAAGAAAGGAGAACAGGAGAAAGGGACACACAAGAAGGAGATACAACAGATAAGAACAACAATGAACAGGAACATCAGAACAGACAAGAGTCAATGGGTAACTGGGTAACTGATTTAGGGACTGCAGATACAGGGCCAAGGCAAGTGAGACATCACTGTTTTCCATCCGGCATGTTTGGCCAGCAAAAGAGATCATTTCAACCAAGTTGGTTTGATACTTTTAAATGGGTTGAATATTCTACCACTGCCAATGCAGCAATCTGCTTTAGTTGTAGACTATATGGCAAACCAAAGCAATCAAGGGATCAAAGGGACACCCTCACCACCTCAGGATACACAAACTGGAAGCGTGCATTGGATTCTTTTCGAGAACATGAAAATTCAAACATACACAAGGCTCTTCTTTCCAGTTCTCGACAGAATGCTGGAGGAGCTTCAAAACAGGTTTTCTGGAGTTGGGGAAAAAATATTAATTGGCATCGTCGACCGATTTGCGAAGGTCAAACCAAGGCGATTTAGCCTAACACTTCCACCTACAAAACAATAAAGAGTGTGAAGACAACGAGTGATGATGGGGAGAAAAAACGAAGCAAATGAAAGGTAATGTGATGAAGGAAGCAGCAAGTGAGGAAGGAAGCAAGTGATGAAGGAAGCAGCAAGTGATGAAGGAAGCAGCAAGTGAGGAAGGAAGCAAGTGATGAGGGATTATTATTTCCTCCTTCCATCCCTTTTTTCAGTTTAATCTCATTACTAACAACTTCTAATAATTTGACATAGTTTATGATTTAATTGGAAAATCAAGTGTTTTTAAATAATAAACCTGTTTCTGATTCTGATTCTTTGATTTTTTTTTGACATATGGGTGTTGAGAGATGTATAGATCTCTTAATGTTGCTCTCAAAGTGCACCAGATTGATGCTTTTAACTTCAATATTTAAAAAAAATCTTCCTGGGGGAGTTCCCCCCAAAAATAGTACTTTACCTCTGCTTATGTAACTCCGGTGTAGTGTCCCCTCGGCAACAGATCACTCACAGTTGGTGATTACTTTCCTGCATTTCAATGGACAGCATATAAAAAGGACACGTGAGCTTCATTGCTTAAGAGATCCTCACATGCCATCTCTTTAAAAAAATAAGTGTCCAGTCAACAACAAAACATCAGTGATCGTATAGTGGTAGTATATTTTTCATAAGCAATGTGAAACATTAAACTTAAAAAAACTGGTGTACAAAACTCACATACCTGCGTTGATCTCCTGGAGTGTCTCTACTCTTTCTCCTCCACCATTAGAGATTGCAAACATTTCAGAAACAACTAGAGGTAGGGGACAAATAACTTGTTCGCTGGGCATGTCAAAAACCTCCCTGCTTTGATCAAGACTTTAGGGAGCCTTTCAGCCCCTCTGGCAAAGGGGCTGGAAAGCAAGTTTTGCAAATGCAGTACCATCTACATGCTTGTCTTGTTCCAGACACTGCTCTCAACCACTCAGGGCCTGCACAAATACCTGCAGAAAGAAACAATTGACTTGGTGCAGGCAGTAAATTACAAAACAGCAGTTGAGAACACACTGAAAAGTTACAGAAGTGACGAGAAAGCAAGACCAAGGCCCTGTGCAATGATCTTGATATTCCCGAAACTGTGACACAGAGGAAGAAGCGTAGAAACATGGAAGACTTTGTAGTCGAGGCATCGTGTGGAGCAGCTCTCCCATTAGCTTATTAGCTCAGATTAGCTATTGATGATCACGTTGATAAATCATATAAAACCAATAGCCAAACACACAAAAAACATGCTGCTGTGTGAGCATTAAACGATTAACATTAAACTAAACAAACACAACAAAACGTTATAGTCCTTATAAAATAAAAACATACATTTTGTCCACCAAAATAATACAGGCACCTTACCCTCGAGAGATCCTCACATGTTATGAGAATCTCCCACAATCCATTGCCGTAACAAAGCTAATGCAGGCACACGTTTGTTTGTGAGACCAGATGGCGTAATTCTTCTTCTTCTTCTTTTATTTAATGGCGAATCGCTTCCACTTGGAGCATATATCGCCACCTCTGGCGTAACCCGAATTAATTCTCCGATTTAACAAGGATTTTATACCAACCTTTATAACTCTGTACACACACACGACACACCTATATGTCGTGAGCTGATTATCGAGCCTTCATTGTAACAGATCTGGTAGGCCACCACGTTATTCTTTACTTTCTACGTCTTTATATGGAGAAGATATTACTTTTTACTCCGTCATGTTGTTTCCATAGCAACAACAACTTCCTGTCAACAGCCAACGAAAAGTAACAAAAAACACTGTAATATCCTTTTCAGTTTCACAGAACACAAATTGGGTTATTTACATAATGTTTACAGTACTGTTTATTGTTATTTTGTAATATTCTTTGCGGAATTTGGCCATGTAAAATGTCCTATTGGGTTGCTGTACAGCCAATGCGTGACGTCATTGGTAAGCGGCGTAACGAACCCCGAACAGATTCTGGTACCTACACTGTGGGCTCAGCCCCGAATGTTTCCAGGTCCAGGCGACGCCCCTGGATCTACCTCTGGAACTAGTTATAAATATATGTGACCCGCTCTATTGAAATCAGTCGGAAGTCGCAACGGCTCATTTCAAAATAAACGTGGATTTGCGTAAAAAACTATTTTTTCGGGGTTCGGGTGTTTTGTTTGATTTTAAATAAACAAAGTCTTGGCTTTCAGAATATGAAACTTTTATTTCCAAAATCACACGATAAATACATTTGTGAAGCTTGTAAAGGGAAGATGACAGGCACCTCTCACTCGCAATCTGCTCTTCCGCAGCGCCGCACCCCCTCCCTCCGGCTGAAATGATGAATGTAAGGCATATAGTAATCATAGATAACACGGCAGGTTCCGTTACAGTTTGTTTTCATCGGATTTCAAATAAACAAAGTCTTGGCTTTCAGAATATTTAACTTGTTTCAGCTAATTCAGATGATAAACACAACTTTGAAGCTTGTGACTGCATAATTACAAGTGGAGAACGGAGTAATTTAACGTCACAGCAGGCATAACAACAGCCGGTGTTTCTCGTGAGTGTTTTCCCCGGGAAACAAACACAATACACACAAACGCAAAAATACACAAACACACATACACACACACACTCGCGAGCTTCCCCCAGACCAGTAATCCAAACGGAAATATTTTCCCTCCCGACTATTTTGATAATTTGCTCCGCTAATAATCAATCAGATCGATGGATTCCAGAGAAGAGGAAACTTTGAAGGCATTTTTCTCAAAATGATGACTCGGTGACAGTCATTATATAATGTGACATATTTTGCTTAATATTTGGAGTACAACAACAATCCTGATATCATTAGAAAGCTAGGAATCTCCTCTTTCCAACAGTGTATACAACTCAAAATGTGTCTCCGGGTCAATGCGACTGATTTCGATGGAGCAGGTCACATATGTATTCTTCACTGTCGGGTCACTCATTACTGGATCAGTGAGCTGCATGAGATACTGACAGGCTGTCAGGAGAGAGAGAGAGGGGGAGAGAGGAAAAGAGAGCGCTTCAGCTCATTTCTCCCGTGTTATTATCCAAAGTTAATGTAAACTTGAATAATGTAGGCTACTTCATTTGAATGTAACAATTATGTTGGTTGTTGTTTGTGGAAGCGCCAGTGAATGAGCCCCATTAACTGAGTGTTAAACATTTCTTTAAATGGAAGATCCCCATAGGACCCGCCCACTCGATCGGATCGGCGATCGGAGCATCCCTAATGTAAGTTGCGCTGACAGGTCCACACACTGCTTCCCCGCAGCGAGGCTCCCCCGCCCTCCTGTTGACAGTTCACGAGCGTCAAGCTCTTCACCCCCCCCCCCCCCCCCCCCGTTGATAATTCACGATCGTCGGCACGCTGATACAATTTTTTTTTTTAATGGCACTTCATATCAAAAAGGTTGCCGACCCCTGCTATAGATACTACCCCAGTTCCTAAACTGTAATGGAAATGCGCCATGAAGTGAGTCAGTCCTAACGAGGCCTAGCCATACCGAGCGAGGCCGAGCTAGGCCGTGTAGTGGAAATGCGCCATAAATGGTCTAATGGTCATTGGAGCGAGGGGCGGGGCAAAACTCACGGAAGTGATTTCAAAACAAAACGGAATGGAACGGGGATAATATTATAAACAAGGTGAATTTAGCGATCACAACGAAAACAGCCAAGACCTATTGAGCCCAGAAAATGAATGTTATTAAAGGCTGTAAATATAATAGGCCTATGTCTAAAATGGACAACATTGTTAGGAGATTCAAACTACAGCGATTCTGCACTGCGGTCACCTCAGCCGTCTCTCGAGTTTGTTTTTTCAATTCAGATGCTCTTCATTTTTTGTCCTGCTATATTTGATGATCGATAGCGATACAAATATTTGTTATCATAAGTTCTTAATAAAACTGACACTGTTGGACTCGGTACTAGTTTGACTGCTACCAGAAATAAAATGAAGTACTTTTACGGTGTACTTAGTGAATAATCCTCTGCCAGAGTCCCCTCCACATAATGCATGTTTTCTGCTATCTTTGATGAATGATAAAAAGACAATTTTACCATTAGTTCTTAATGATATTGATACTGCTTGACTCAGTAGTCTTACACCTACTACCACAATACAATGAAGTACTTCTAGTGTGTTGTTTAAAAAAAAATCCTCTGTCAATGTCCCCTCCTGAGAACAAAATCAAGCCACTTCTGTTAAGTTTGATGAGGGAAAAAATGATTTTTGCCATTAGTTCTTTGTGAGTTTGACACTGTTGGACTCAGTACTAGTTCGTCCAGTATTGGATCTTCTAAAGTTTCACCATCCCGGAATAAAACAATAAATCTATGTAGGTTATTGGGTTATTTTTCAATATTTGGCAGATGGGACCAAAAAGGGATGTGTAGCTCAACAGGAACCTTTGATCTTGTGTTGGGTAACATTAGGCGCGTTCACACCAAGTACTTTTCCCACAATAGTTCATGAGAACTTTAGTTCATGAGAGCTCTTTTAGTTCTGATGAACTAAAGCAGATCGCGTTCACACCAAAATGAGTTCCTGGGGGTGGATTAGGCAAATGAACCGCTGACGTCACTTCTTCTTCTTCTGCTTTGGGTTTACTGGCAGGCCGCAAACAACTTCACGGCGAGTACAGTAGGTGGCGGTATGCACCTTAAAGTTGCAATCCGCCAAAAAAACTAGAGAAAAAGAAGAAGAAAAACCTCCCGCACCCACTTGCTGTAAATGAGGCGTCTGTTTACCTTCCGACCTCAGACATGAGCTTCGTCTGAGTTATTTAAGCAAACACAAATACAGATCGCCGACCAGTCAAATGCAATAGCAATGCTGATTCGGAAGCGAAGGCGGTTAAGAAGGATTGACAAAAGGATTGGACGACGACATGCACGCGCTACGCTACGTGTGAAATGAATAAACTGTGCCAGGTGTGTCGTATGCACACTAAATAGGCTCAGCAGCTAACACACCTTTATTATATCCTCCTGAGAACAACTGCATCCGTCTGCCATGAACCCTACAGAAACCTACGTGTTAGTTGTGGCCCATAGTGGCCTCCATTTGTGTCGTGTAAAATGGGGGAAATCAAAAGTTAGCAAATCCCCATGTCATGTTCATAAAAACATTTAGTTTTAGGTCAAATAATTATTACACTGCTCTGAAACTCACTACACTAACTCCTAAGATGTTCCCTTACTATAATTAATTCAAAAATATTGAACTCACAACACTACGCCATTTTGAAATACAATGAAATTATCTTTTTGAAAGCCACAATAAATAAAGCTTCGCCAGTTTATAACCGATGAAACATGATGGTATCAGAATAATCACTTACATGTGATGTATAGGATGCTACACAGGTCACTGTAAATGTTGAGAACACGGCGTGCAAAATATACGGGTCGTGCTGCAGCTAGATTTTCCTGTCCTCTGTTAGAAGGTGTCGGCGACAGACGTGTGAGGAAGAACGGCTTTCCACAGGCTGTTCCAATTTAAGTACTTTATTAATTGTCCAGGGTAGTGAATGGTACATGCAATGGTAATTGGATGGGTGTGGTATCTGTAATATAAAGATAAACAGGTATGAATAAACATGTATTATAGAGGGATAATGACCAGTGACATTGTTCCACAGTAAATTAGGTGGATAAAGAAATGGCACAATTAGCTGGCCTATGCTGCCCTCTATTGGCCAAAGGCCGCAACAGAATGGCGATAGAAGTGACACGTTATTACATAAAGTAATTAACTATTATAAACAATCACGCATGAACAACATAAAGGAATGCACACAATGAAGTCTCTATAATGACTACAATATAAAGAACACTGCATACATTGGCCTCAACTTGGCGTTACATTGTTCATTATGCAGTGTGAGGGAGCGT